ATATATATATATATATATATATATTTTGTTGATATAAGTCATGCTTTACAAAAACGTCATGTCCTTATTGTGAATCCTAAAGCCTAAGACTTAACCTCACAACCACACTATCTCTCGTACTATTTAAAACTTTGATCAATGTACAAAACATTTCTATATTTATCACTTATTTTGCCGAAAACGGATTTTACTTATAAACGATTCGATTGTATAAAACATTAAAGCATCTCTAATAAAAATCTATAAATATAAAAGGATAATATATTTTTCGTCTTCAAATACAGTGTCTACATTATTATTATTTTCATCTAAAAAAATGTACACTTTCAAAAGTAAATGTCTACTTTTTCATTTTACCCTTAATTATGCGATGGAGAAAATTTCACTCTCTGTGATTATGAGTAAAGTTATCTATACTATATTATTATAATGCATTTGACAAAAACTTTCAAAAATCATTCTTTATGCATGAAGTACTATGTATTAATACATATTACTTAAAATTTAAAATTACAAGTAAATTGTGCGTAAGTACAACTTATTAAAGCTCTATTTTTGAATTCGTATAATTAACTGCAGATAAACATAATCAACTGTCAGGATAAACATCTCATTTTAAAATATCAAAAATAGAAAATATAATTAGGCTAATCATTGAGTTCTAACAGAATCATTACCTTTAAAAAAATTATATTGTTAAGCCAAAAATAAATTATTTAGCTATTAGACCTAAATTAAATTATAATAAAAAATTGAATTAAGAAAATTGTAAAAAAACGAGAACTTTTAAATAGTTAATTTGATATTAATATCGATATATTTTTTCAAATTTTTTATGATATATTCAAATTTATTTTTATTCAAAAGTAAAAACATTATCTTTATCGAAACCACATAAAACGTATTATATCAATAGAGAACAAAAAATAAAACGAAACATTAAAATAAAAATGTATCTCGCTGCATTGTGCGAGTACCCTTTTAGTTTTTTTATTAATTAAAAAAATATGATATTTAGACTTTCCTACAACCATATATCTTTTTTGCTGTGACATTTATTTTGGAACAAAATTAATATTTTTTTATAATAAAATAATTATTTTCCAAATAGGGAGAAAAAAATCTAAATCTAAATAAAATCTTCAAATATGGTGAAAATCTACAAAAAGTTATTAGGAAAAAAAAAATATATATATATATATATATATATATATATATTGAATTGTGTTTTATATAATTCAGGGGTGCACATGGATTGTGTTAGGTTGTGTTGAGTGGTTTGCACCATTTTGACAACTGTATTCAATTACAGCAGTTTGATACAATCTCATCCCAACTCGACCCTTTAAATAGTATAACCCGACCCAACACAACCATTGCTGGTTCGGTTAGCGGGCTAATGTTGTACATAGTTATAGTTAACAGGAGAGAAAAAAAAAACCAATAGGAAGCAGTCAGTTTTCAAGGTGATCTGGTTACTGATATTCTATGGACTATGGTGATTAACTAAACTCAAAACAATGAATAGAACATAACTTTATTAAGTCCATTGCCCCCTCATTTACTGGATAAGACTTTCGGTTCTTGTCATGTTCATCCGATAAGGTAATATGACTTGATAAACGCTTACTGAGTAAGTGTTTTGTAAACGACTCTTGGCTTCTTTTTTTCCTTTCAATTTTCACTAATTTATTTGAAGCCCTTAAGATTTTTCCTAAATTGATAAACCAGGCGAATTTGTCGTGTATCTGTAATGTACGTATAATCATATAACTTATATATTATCGATGCTCTGTATGTTATTAATGGATTAACGGGATGGGTTATCAACCATATTAATAGATAGGGCGGAATTGGACGGTCTTATAGATAGTGGTTTTACAAGTTGAGTTGGACGGTATGACAGTTTGGATGGTTTTTAAAACGAGCCCCATCAAAATCTGGAGAGAGAAAAGATCTGCTATTTTAAAAAATTTGTTAAAATATTAAATAAAT